AACCATTTCCTATAAGAGAAAGGTTTCCATTACTTTGAGAAATGGATTCTATATCAAACTATAGCTATTGCATTAAAGAAGAAAAGAAACTAATAGAAGTCGAAGAGCGGAATGGTAGTGAATAGAGAGAAAGATTCTTCTGGTTTTCTTGTTCCTGAAAATATTCTATCTATCTCCTAGACGCCGTAGAGAATTGAGAATTTTCATGTCTTTCAATTCTCGTACTCGTAATTGGAAAGTTACGGAAGGAGATCCATCATTTTGCAATGAAAACTACATAAAAAACTCTGGACAATTTCGAAATCAGGCCAAGCGTCTTAATACATATGCAAAAAAATTCATTATTGGCCCACCATTGATTAGAAGATTTAACTTGTATGAATCGCTATTGGTTTGATACGAATAATGGCAGTTGTTTCAGTATGTTAAGGATACAGATGTATCCACAATTCATTTAGAGTTACTTAATAGCCTATTTCTTATACCATATCTCTATCCCGTGAAATTCTCGAGCCGAAAGATGGATGCATATGCTATGTTTCATTTTGCTAAATGATATCAATTAAACGGTGTATCAATTCCATAAATTGGATATAGCAATAAATAAATCAGCAAAATTCTTTTATTTTAGATAGAAGAAACTTTTCTTCTATCTAAAATAAAAGAATGTACCCTTCTATCCAAATCCAATTTGCATCGATAAAATAAATCCAAATTCCAGTAGTAGATGAATAATTGCAAATTTTTGTGTGTACGAGATTAGAATAACTTCAAAATAACTGACATAATTTTTTATTTTTCCTGATCAGAAAAATACATGAAAAAGAAAGGAGGTAGAAAAATTTTTGGATTTATGGTTAAAGAAGAAAAAGAAGAAAACTGGGGTTCTGTTGAATTTCAAGTATTCAGTTTCACCAATAAGATACGGAGACTTGCTTCACATTTGGAATTACACAAAAAAGATTTTTCATCGGAAAGAGGTCTCCGAAGACTTTTGGGAAAACGTCAACGTTTGCTGGCTTATTTGGCAAAGAAAAATAGAGTACGTTATAAGAAATTAATCAGTCAGTTGGATATTAGGGAGCGGTAATTTCATCGTTCGAATTTTTTTTCTTATTTTATTAGTAGTCTTATAGTAGTCTTAGATTTTGCATTTTGATGAGCCTCGTTTTGAGGAATTCATGGAATAATCCATTTTCATGGAATAATGAATTAAGGAAGAAAGGATATGAGTCTACCGCTTACAAGAAAAGATCTCATGATAGTCAATATGGGCCCTCAGCACCCATCAATGCATGGTGTTCTTCGACTGATCGTTACTCTCGATGGTGAAGATGTTATTGATTGTGAACCCATATTAGGCTATTTACACAGAGGAATGGAAAAAATCGGCAAATAGGAAAGCTACTTAGGCAGGAGATAGGGGAATTCCTTAAGAAAGAAAAAAGAATAAGAACACAGATACATAACATAAAAAAAAGAATAAATAAGACGAAATTCGACCTCCCCCTACATATTTAATTTCTTCTCCTATACAAAAACTAGCAAGACCTACTCCATTGGTAATTCCATCAATGACACCCTTGTCGAAAAACTGCGTTAGTTCGGTTAATCCTCTTATACCCAAGGTAAAGGTCCTAGTATAGAAAATATCTATATAACCGCGATTATATGACCAACTATATATCTTTTTTTTTAGTTGATGGAAAAAATACTTTTTCGGACCCCCTTTTACAAAGGAATTTATTAAATCAAATTCTGAAAAAAAGAGTAAGCAGATCCATAAAACATATATGCCTATGAATAGACCAAAAATAGCTAGACTTACAGAAGAAATTGCATTAGTGATAAATTCATATGAATTTATGGACGAATTAGAACTTTCTTGGAAAAAGTTGATTGAGGGAGTTAGCCACTTTGATAATATGGTTAATTCCCCTATTTCATTATCAAAATGGATTCCTATAGATCCAATAAACAAAGTACAAAGCAGTAATATAAGAAGAGGAAATAGCATAGTATTTCCCGGTTCATGAGGATAGACAAAAGTGTTTTTAGTCCCCAATGAAGTACTAAAGGACCCTATCCTATTTCCTGTATTAACATGAATTTTGGATAGATTTTGTGAAAAAAAAGAAACTCCACTCTTCGCTGTTGATAAAACGAAATCTCTATTGACTCCTTTAGATATCCTTTTTCCCCATAACGATATTGAATACAACGAATCCTCTTTAGTACTACTGTAATTTTGAAAATGAACACGCAAATACCCATCAAAAGTAAGTAAATATATCCGAAACATATAAAACGCAGTTAATCCTGCAGTAAAAGAAGCTATTATTCCAAAAAAGGGTGAATATAACCAACTATTACTAAGGATTTCATCTTTGGACCAGAAGCAAGCAAGAGGTGGAATACCACAAAGAGAAAGGGTACCCCATAAAAAACAAGTTCTTGTAATTGGAATGTATTTTCTTAAACCACCCATAAGAACCATATTCTGACTTTTATCTGGTGAATATCCAACAAGAGGTTCCATTGAATGAATAACAGATCCGGATCCCAAGAATAATAAAGCTTTCGAATAAGCATGAGTGATCAAATGGAATAAAGCAGCTTGATAAGAACCTATACCTAGAGCTAACATCATATAACCCAATTGAGACATTGTAGAATAGGCTAAGCTTCTTTTAATATCTCTCTGAGCAAGAGCTAAAGTGGCTCCTAAGAAAAGTGTTAGTGTACCTATTAAAGAAATGAAACTCATTATCAAAGGTAGGGATATGAAAAGAGGAAGAAGTCGAGCTATAAGAAAAATCCCCGCAGCAACCATAGTTGTTGCGTGTATAAGAGCTGAAATGGGGGTGGGTCCTTCCATAGCATCGGGTAACCATACGTGAAGAGGGAATTGTGCCGATTTCGCAACCGCACCAAGGAATAATAAAAAAGCACACAAAATAGTAAGCAAGGAGTTAATCTCATTATTAGGAATCCAGTTATTAGCTATTTTAAACAAATCCCGAAACTCTAAACTACCTGTTATCCAAAAAAAACCTAGAATTCCTAATAACAGACCAAAATCCCCTACACGATTAGTTACAAAAGCTTTTTGACAAGCACTCGCTGCAATTGGCCGTGTAAACCAAAAGCCTATCAATAAATAGGAACACATTCCCACAAGCTCCCAAAAAAAATAAATTTGTATCAAATTGGAACTAGTAACCAATCCCAACATGGAAGTATTGAAAAAACTTATATAAACAAAAAATCTCAAATATCCCTCATCGTGAGACATATAATCATCACTATAAATAAGAACCAGGATTCCTACAGTAGTAATTAGTATTAACATAATAGAAGTAAGCGGGTCGATTAAGTATCCAAATTCTAAGGAAAAATCATTATTGACGGTCCAAGACCATAGATATTGATAGATAGAACTTCCATTTATTTGTTGAATAGACAGGTGAACTGAGAATACCATAGCTATACTTAAAAGTAAAACACTAGGAAAAGCCCATATGCGACGAAGATTTTTTGTTGCTGTTGGAACAAGAAAAAGTCCAAACCCCATTGACATAATAACTGGAAGTGGGAGAAGAGGGATTACCCATGCATATTGATATGTATGTTCCATAAGAAAAGAAATTGCAATTTTTACTTGAAAATTTTACTTCAATTTTTCTATAAAATTGAAAAAAGTTTCCGATTCACCAAACTAATTCTTATCTATTTCTGAAGGAATAAAAAAATACTAGAATTCTTAATTTTTCAAAAATTTTCTCATTGAAACAATCAAAAAATAAGAATAGGTTTTGTTGGTTAAAGTCAAAAAGTTAATGAAATAACTTCGTTACCTAGTTATTACCTAAAGAAGGACTTTTATTAAAATACAAAAAAAAGATTGAATCATTTTACTTTAATATTTTTTTGTATTAAAATGAAGCAGCTCCCTTGTTTCGTAACTCAAATTGATTGGAATTCAATTCTGGAATACTTTAATTAACTATTTGATTGAATTTTCCCTTCCTTTTATCCTCCCGTCTTATATGGGGGATAGGCCCCCATACCTTATATCTGTATATGGAGAGTATACTTGAAATATAAATTGATTTAAATAGAAAACCTTGTATATATTCTATATTATTAAAACAAAGTCTAAAAAAAATATATAATATGTTAAAAAACTCTTGTCTTATCCGCATTAGACAAAATGAAGTAAAAAAGAATTCAGAATTTCAATATCTTTTAGTATCTAAGTATAAATACTAAGAAAAAGAAGAAAGATGGATTGATTTGCGGCAATAGATGTCTTTCACATACAACTAGAAAAAAGTAATTTCCTTTTTGAATGGCAGTTCCAAAAAAACGTACTTCGATGTCAAAAAAGCGTATTCGTAAAAATCTTTGGAAGAAAAAGACTTATTTTTCCATAGTACAATCTTATTCTTTAGCAAAATCAAGATCATTTTCTGGCGTCAGCGAGCATCCAAAACCAAAGGGTTTTTCTCGGCAACAAACAAATAATAGGGTTTTGGGATAATATGAATTGACCTATCCCCCAAAAATTCCAATTATTTAATATGAATAATTAGGAATAATTAGGATTAATTAATGAGTTTACTTTTATGTGTCGAATTCCTCGGTACAATATTCTTAGAACAAACCTCTCTGATATATAAAAAAAGGGTTTTTGGTATACTGTGACCTAAATATTCTTTTCCTATCAATGAACTTTTCGTAATAGAATCCGTATAATAAATAAAAAAAGGGGATTCTATTATGAAAAGTAGAGTATTCCTGCAATAAGACTTACAACTTCTACCTATCTTATCCTAAATTAACAAAAAAATTAGTTCTATATTGCAACTGAGAAAAAATTGTTCCAACTCTTTCAAAGTTTCTATTGGGCAAAGCAAGAATTTTTTTGTTAAAAAATTCGCAACGATACTACCAAACGAAGTCTATTTTAATGAAGATTCTAATGTCCTAAATTCTATGGAATCTTCCAATCTCGACGATTCGCGAGAAAATAACTTAATATTCTTTTAATAAACCTGTTATTTCAACTTAGCCGCCATGGTGAAATTGGTAGACACGCTGCTCTTAGGAAGCAGTGCTCAAGCATCTCGGTTCGAGTCCGAGTGGCGGCAGTCTCGAAAAAGAATACAATAGATTATAAAATAAAATGGATTCAATTCGAAATTTCCAATTTTGTAATGGGACCTTCTCCTTATGCTATTTGCAACTTTAGAACATATACTAACTCATATTTCTTTCTCAACAATTTCAATTGTGATTACGATTCATTTAATAACCTTATTAGTTCGTGAACTTGGGGGATTGCGTGATTCGTCAGAAAAAGGAATGATAGCCACTTTTTTCTGTATAACAGGATTCTTAGTTTCTCGTTGGGCTTCTTCGGGACATTTTCCATTAAGTAATTTATATGAGTCATTGATCTTCCTTTCATGGGCTCTGTATATTCTTCATATGATTCCTAAGATACAGAACTCTAAAAATGATTTAAGCACAATAACTACGCCGAGTACTATTTTAACGCAAGGCTTTGCCACGTCGGGTCTTTTAACTGAAATGCATCAATCCACAATACTAGTACCTGCTCTACAATCTCAGTGGTTAATGATGCATGTCAGTATGATGTTACTAAGCTATGCGACTCTTTTGTGCGGATCCTTATTATCCGCCGCTCTTCTAATGATTAGATTTCGAAAGAATTTAGATTTCTTTTCGAAAAAGAAGAAAAATGTTTTAAGCAAAACATTTTTCTTTAATGAGATTGAATATTTCTATGCAAAAAGAAGTGCTTTAAAAAGCACCTTTTTTCCTTTATTTCCAAATTATTACAAATATCAATTAATTGAGCGTTTGGATTCTTGGAGTTATCGTGTCATTAGTCTAGGGTTTACCCTTTTAACCATAGGTATTCTTTGTGGAGCAGTATGGGCTAATGAGGCGTGGGGATCCTACTGGAATTGGGATCCTAAAGAAACTTGGGCATTTATTACTTGGACCATATTTGCAATTTATTTACATAGTAGAACAAATCCAAATTGGAAGGGTACGAAGTCAGCATTTGTAGCTTCCATAGGATTTCTTATAATTTGGATCTGTTATTTTGGTATCAATCTATTAGGAATAGGTTTACATAGTTATGGTTCATTTACATTACCCATCTAAATGATTACATAACATAAAACCTTAATGAAATGGAAAAAACTTCCATTTTTGTGTTTGATTTGAGAACCCCTTGAACGCCTTCTCAAAGGGTTCTCAAAAATTCGAGATAGATCTAATTAGACTCTTTTACTTTTTTCTGAATTTTTGAGTATTTCCACTATGGAATATAGAGCGGACTAGTAGAAGAAAAAAAATCCTATTTAGGATAATAATTGGATAACAGAGCCTCTACCCTGTCAACGGATAGCGAGAGAACAAAATCTGGATAAATACCGATTCCTATTACTGGTAAAAAGATACAGATTAAAAGAAAGAGTTCTCGCGGGCCGGAATCCTCAAAATTTTCGTTTGGAACATGAAATAGCTTGTATCCATAGAACATCTGTCGTAACATAGATAATAAATAAATAGGAGTTAATATCATTCCAATTGCCATTACAAAAGTAATTAGCATTTTTGGCATTAACAGAAATTTTGGACTAGTAATTAGTCCAAAAAATACTACTAATTCCGCAACAAAACCACTCATTCCTGGTAAGGCAAGAGAAGCCATTGAAAAGCTACTAAACATGGTAAAAATTTTTGGCATTGGGATAGAAGCCCCTCCCAGTTCTTCGAGATAAACAAGGCGCATTCTATCACAAGCCGTTCCCGCTAAGAAAAAAAGTGTAGCCCCAATAAATCCATGGGATAATATTTGTAAAATAGCTCCATTGAGTCCAATGTTGGTTATGGAACCAATTCCTATAATAATGAAACCCATGTGAGAGACGGAGGAGTAGGCTATTCTTTTTTTGAAATTGCGTTGGCCAAGAGAAGTTGAAGCTGCATAGATTATTTGCATCGCTCCTATTATTACTAACCAAGGGGAAAATAGATAATGAGCATGAGGTAACAATTCCATATTGATCCGAATCAATCCGTATGCTCCCATCTTTAATAGGATTCCCGCTAAAAGCATACATGTACTGTAATGCGCTTCCCCATGGGTATCTGGTAACCACGTATGTAGGGGTATAATCGGCAATTTGACAGCATAAGCAATAAGGAAGCCAAAATAAAATAGTATTTCCAATGTTGCAGGGTATGATTGATTAATTAATCTTTCCAAATCTAATCTTGGTTCGTTGGAACCGTATAAGCCCATACCTAGAACTCCGATTAAGAAAAAAATGGAACCACCTGCAGTATACAAAATAAACTTTGTAGCTGAATAGAGACGCCTCTTCCCCCCCCACATGGATAAAAGTAAGTAAACAGGAATTAATTCTAACTCCCACATGATAAAAAAAAGTAAAAGGTCTCGCGAAGAAAATAATCCTATTTGACCGCTATACATTGCTAGCATCAGGAAATAGAATAATCGGGAATTCCGGGTAACCGGCCAAGCTGCTAAAGTAGCTAAAGTAGTCATAAATCCTGTCAATAAAATAGATCCTAATGAAAGTCCATCGATTCCCAATCTCCAGTGGAAATTGAAGACATCTATCCATTTAGAATCCTCTTTTAATTGGATTAAGGGATCCTCCAATTGGAAATGATAACAGAATGCATAAGTCATTAGAAGGAATTCTAATAAACAAATAGACATAGTATACCACCTAACGATTTTGTTTCCCCTATGAGGTAAAAAGAAAATTAATGAACCCGCAAATATCGGCAAAACAACAAGTATTGTTAACCAAGGAAAAGAACTCATGATAAAGTGATAAAGACAAGATACGTTTTGACCAGAAAAGCCCGTGCTCGATTATTTTGAGCACAGGCTTCTTCGGTAAAGAGGAATCAGACGATTCAAGTGGAATTTTTTGTAACGTATCAATAAGATAGAGCCATGCTGCGGGTTGTCTCAGGTCCTAAATAAACGCGGACACTTAAAAAATCTGTTGGGCAGGCGGATTCGCATCTCTTACAACCCACACAATCTTCGGTTCTTGGCGCGGAAGCAATTTGCTTGGCTTTACATCCATCCCAAGGTATCATTTCTAATACATCTGTTGGACAAGCTCGTACACATTGAGTGCATCCTATACATGTATCATAAATTTTTACGGAATGTGACATTGGGTCTATAAATTTTCCTTTTCAACATAAAAATTTTCGATCTGGTCAAAATGAAATTAGTACTATATCAATCAAATGTATTGTAGACACCAGACGAAGCAATGGTTTATCCAAACTTCAACAAATAATGCAATATATTTCTTAATCCGTTTGTGAGAAAGCATGAAAAGAGCCAAGAGACTTTAATTTTGGGCTTCAACAATCATAATTATACGAATTGTATATACGAATTCGAATTAGCCAATAAATTGGCTATCGTCTTTTCAATATAAATTATTGCAATATTCAAATTGCAATATCAATGAATTGCAAAAATTCAACTAAGTAAAAAAGAATACTATGGAATAACCTACTCAAAAAATAGATATTCTCAAATAATAAATAGTATTCATGTTACTATTTCATATTATTATTATATGTGTCCCTTTGTTTAGAAGATTCTATGTCTAATTATTCAAAAAATTAGATTGATTGATACGAGTTGATTTCCTATTACGATGGATGGAAGAAAGAATGGATAATCCAATAGCTGCTTCAGCAGCCGCAAGGGCTATAACAAAAATTGCGAAAATGTCTCCTTTTAATTGGCGGCTATCAAATAGATCAGAAAATGTTACGAGATTTAGATTAATTGAATTCAGTATAAGTTCAAGGCATATTAGAGCTCTAACCATGTTTCGGCTTGTGATCAATCCATAGATACCAATCGAAAATAAATAGACACTCAAAAAAAGTACATGCTCAAACATCATTAACTAACTCCTTATCAATCTCGATTCATTTCAATATGGGGACAAGAATTGAACCGATTGAATTAATTAGAATAGAACAATTACACAACAAAAGAGAAAAGAAGGTATTTGTTGGCAGTAGATGAGTTTTACTAAATCAAAATTGTGGTTCTTTAGTGATTTATTTTAGATTTGAAATTCTTATAATTTTGACTCATTCTAAGTATTTCTTATTGCCGAGCCATAGTAATTGCACCTATTAAAGAAACTAGAAGAATTATGGAAATGAGTTCAAATGGAAGATAAAAATCGGTTGCTAAATGAATCCCAATTTGTTGAACGTTATTTATGAGACCCTGTTCTACTATTTGGTTTGATCTTGTAGTCCAAAGAATTCCATACCATGACGTATCTGGGATAGTAGTCATTAGTGAAAAAGGAATAGTTATACAAACGAGTGAAGTGAACCCATCTCCAATAGTCCAAAAATTCTTATCTTTAGACCATTCTGAGCCATTTACGAACATTACGGCAAATATGATCAAGACATTTATAGCTCCCACATAAATAAGAAGTTGTGCCACAGCTACAAAGTAGGAATTCAATAAAATATAGAATAAGGATATACAAACAAGAACTAATCCTAGCGAAAAAGCAGAAAAAGTTGGGTTGGTAAGTAATACCACCCCTAGACCCCCTAGTAGAAGAACAAATCCCCCAAATAGCACAAGAATTTCATGTATTGGCCCAGGTAAATCCATTATGGATAAGAAGAAATTAATAGTATAAATTTTTTCATGAACTGACTAAAACTAAAAGATTCAAGGAAGAAAAAAGGGATTAGGAAATTTTTTTGTATATTGTATATAAGTTCTTTCTATAGTTAGAAATCACATCACGAAAATCTACTCTGGTTTAAAATCAGGAATAATTTGCAATAAGCAGTAGGTATTCGTTTTTCTTTCTAGTTAGTAAAGAACTTTTGGATTCTAACAAAAAAATTCTAGTAATCAGTAATCGTTCTTGAATTCCAAGATTTTTCTTCGTCTATTTTACTTTGAGTTGAATTCCTAATTGTTTGAATTGTGTAATCTCCCATTATGGAGATTGGTAACCGACTCAAAGCAATTTGATTGTAATTCAATTCATGACGATCATAAGTAGAAAGTTCATATTCTTCAGTCATTGATAAACAGTTTGTCGGACAGTACTCAACACAATTACCACAAAATATACAAACTCCGAAATCAATACTATAATTAAGCAATTGTTTCCTTTTAATATCCTTTTCAAATCTCCAATCCACAAGAGGTAGATCTATAGGGCATACGCGAACACATACTTCACAAGCAATACATTTATCAAATTCAAAGTGGATTCGCCCCCGGAAACGCTCCGATGTAATTGATTTTTCATAGGGGTAGTGAATCGTTATAGGTAAACGATTTGTGTGGGATAAGGTAATTATGAAACTTTGACCAATGTACCTTGCTGCGCGTATTGTTTGTTGACCCATGAACCCAGTTACCATAGGGAACATATTCGAAATATCTATGAAAAAGGTATGTTTCTTTCTCTTGTTTGAGAGGACTTTTGTGTTGAAAATATTCTTACTGTTATTGTATTATCTTATTTTATAGTGAAACAAGTTGGGAAGAAGTTGTTAATAAGAGATTGCCCAGGGAAATAGGTAAAAGAAATTTCCATCCAAGATTTAATAACTGATCCATTCTCATCCTGGGTAAAGTCCATCTTATTGTGATAGAAATGAAGAGAAATAAATAAGCTTTAGTTAATGTAATAAAGATACTCATTGTCATTTCTAAAATTCCAACCATTTTATTCATTTGGAAAAATCCAAAAAAGGATATATAGGGAATAGACAAATTCCACCCGCCTAAGTAGAGAACTGTTACAAATAAAGAGGAAACTAATAAATTTAGGTAAGAAACAAGATAAAATAAACCATATTTGATACCAGAATATTCGGTTTGATAACCTGCTACTAATTCTTCCTCCGCTTCTGGTAAATCAAAGGGTAATCTTTCACATTCCGCCAAAGAAGAAATTAGAAAAACCAGAAAACCTATAGGCTGACGCCAAAGATTCCATCCAAAAAAACCATATTTTGACTGTGCTTCAACTATATCAACTGTACTTGAACTGTTGGATAATCATAGTCGACGATAACATCACAGTTCCCACCGCTATTCCAAAACCGTACATGAAACCTTAGTTTCATACGGCTCCTCTATGATCAGAAAAAAGGAAAGTACTGTTTCATTTCGTTATTATCTTCTTGGGCGTAGTTAGAATTATCTAAGATAAAATCGATTTCAACGTCCTAAATTAGACCAAAGGAATTCTGTCTGCTAGAATAATAAAAAACGCTTCGGAATTCATCTCATCCTTTATAATATAATGGTACTTTTTCTTTGTTCAGCAATAACTTAATCTTGGAATAAAACACTCGTTATAACAATTAATAAACGAAAAGAGTTGGGTATTAGTTCATGAAGAATTCTGTATGAATATGGATAAACGACGGAAAGAATAAATAAAGATCTTTTTTTTTGTATTGCATTCCATATCTTTTGTCCTATTCTTCTTTCCCGAGGGGTATTTAAAAAGAAAAAAGGAATAAAGGGTTAATTCGTTCTTGATAGCCATTTCCTTAACAAGTGAATGGGAACATACTCTGGATCGGAATCCGAAGAAAGTACTACTTGCTCATTTCCACCAATTTCAAGTCCTTATTATGATTCCTTTTATGAGGAAAAATATCTAATGCTTTAGATTCCCTCATTACTAATCCTTTATGTACTTTAGTGTTTCTAATCCCTCACTAACTTTTGATGGATTCCCTTATGATTACAACTTTCTGTATCGGGAATCCCTTATTATTGCCCGCTTCAAGATATGATGACTAATCAAAAAATCTCAACCTTGGGGTAAAGAATTTACACCGCTTATGTTTACTTCCATTTTTTCTTGTACATAGGAAATGAGATTTTTTCTTTTTACTACAAATTAATAAGCAGTTTTGTTTCACTCATATAGCTATCTAGTTTAACTTACTAACCTGAATATAGAATAAGAAAAGGAGGATAAATATTCAATGAATTTCAGAGGAAAAAGATCCTATTTTAACGAATCGCACGTAGAGATATTGCTAGTACACAAAAAGTTAATGGGATTTCATAACTAATAGATTGAGCGGCAGCTCGTAGACCACCTGAAAAAGAATATTTATTATTTGAGCTATATCCTGCCATAAGAAGACCAATAGGAGCAATACTTGAAATGGCAATCCATAAAAAAACACCAATACTAAGATCCGCTAAAACAAAGCGATATCCCAAAGGAATAACTAAAAAACTTAATAAAATTGATATGACTGCTATAGACGGTCCAATGCTAAATAAGGGAATATCCCCTCGGGATGGCAAGATATCCTCTTTAAAAAGTAGCTTAGTTCCATCTGCTATAGCTTGAAGCAGTCCCAGGGGGCCAGCATATTCAGGACCAATACGTTGTTGTATCGATGCGGATATTTCTCTTTCTAACCACACAATTACGAGTACTTCTATTGTGATTCCCAGTAAGAGGGTCAAAATGGGTAGAATCCATATCAGTCCATAGACTTCTTTTAATAATTCCAAGTTCGAAAAAGAATTGATAGCTTCTACCTGTACCCTGTCTATTATCATTTCAACGATCAACTTCTCCCATAATGATATCTATACTACCTAATATCGTCATGATATCAGCCAATTTCATTTTTTTGACTAGCTGAGGAAGAATTTGCAAATTAATAAAACCGGGTGGACGAATTTTCCATCTCCAGGGGAAAAGACTATCATCTCCTACCAGATAAATTCCTAATTCACCTTTTGGGGCTTCCACTCTTGCATAAAGCTCTTGTTTTGACAATTCAAAATTGGGTGAAGGTTTTTTACCAAGAAATCGATATTCAAAATCATTCCATTCGGAATTCTTTGCTTTCTTAAAGCGTCGGACTTCTAAATTCTCATAAGGGCCCCCAGGAATTTTTTCTACAGCCTGTTGAATAATTTTGATGGATTCCCTCATTTCACCGATTCGTACTAAATAGCGTGCTAATGAATCCCCTTCTTTTTGCCATTGGACTTTCCAATCGAATTGATTGTAAGACTCGTAAAGATCAACTTTACGAAGATCCCATTGTATTCCAGAAGCTCGTAACATGGGGCCCGATAAGCCCCAATTTACAGCTTCTTCTCCGCTAATAAAACCAACTCCCTCAACTCGTTCCAAAAAAATGGGATTCTGTGTAATAAGTTGTTGATATTCAATAACTCCTCGTAAAAAATAATCACAGAAATCTAAACATTTATCGATCCATCCATAAGGCAGATCGGCAGCAACTCCTCCGATGCGAAAGTAATTATGCATCATTCGCATACCTGTAGCAGCTTCAAATAGATCATATATTAATTCTCTCTCTCTAAAAATATAAAAAAAAGGAGTCTGCGCACCGAGATCTGCCATAAAAGGTCCAAGCCATAACAAGTGAGAAGCTATACGGCTCAATTCTAACATAATTACCCTAATATAGCTGGCTCTTTGGGGTATTTGAATATTCTCCAAGAATTCTGGTGCATTTACCGTTATTGCTTCTGTAAACATAGTAGCTAAATAATCCCAACGTGTTACATAAGGTAAGTATTGTATAATAGTTCGGTTTTCCGCGATTTTTTCCATTCCTCTGTGTAAATAGCCTAATATGGGTTCACAATCAATAACATCTTCACCATCGAGAGTAACGATCAGTCGAAGAACACCATGCATTGATGGGTGCTGAGGGCCCATATTGACTATCATGAGATCTTTTCTTGTAAGCGGTAGACTCATATCCTTTCTTCCTTAATTCATTATTCCATGAAAATGGATTATTCCATGAATTCCTCAAAACGAGGCTCATCAAAATGCAAAATCTAAGACTACTATAAGACTACTAATAAAATAAGAAAAAAAATTCGAACGATGAAATTACCGCTCCCTAATATCCAACTGACTGATTAATTTCTTATAACGTACTCTATTTTTCTTTGCCAAATAAGCCAGCAAACGTTGACGTTTTCCCAAAAGTCTTCGGAGACCTCTTTCCGATGAAAAATCTTTTTTGTGTAATTCCAAATGTGAAGCAAGTCTCCGTATCTTATTGGTGAAACTGAATACTTGAAATTCAACAGAACCCCAGTTTTCTTCTTTTTCTTCTTTAACCATAAATCCAAAAATTTTTCTACCTCCTTTCTTTTTCATGTATTTTTCTGATCAGGAAAAATAAAAAATTATGTCAGTTATTTTGAAGTTATTCTAATCTCGTACACACAAAAATTTGCAATTATTCATCTACTACTGGAATTTGGATTTATTTTATCGATGCAAATTGGATTTGGATAGAAGGGTACATTCTTTTATTTTAGATAGAAGAAAAGTTTCTTCTATCTAAAATAAAAGAATTTTGCTGATTTATTTATTGCTATATCCAATTTATGGAATTGATACACCGTTTAATTGATATCATTTAGCAAAATGAAACATAGCATATGCATCCATCTTTCGGCTCGAGAATTTCACGGGATAGAGATATGGTATAAGAAATAGGCTATTAAGTAACTCTAAATGAATTGTGGATACATCTGTATCCTTAACATACTGAAACAACTGCCATTATTCGTATCAAACCAATAGCGATTCATACAAGTTAAATCTTCTAATCAATGGTGGGCCAATAATGAATTTTTTTGCATATGTATTAAGACGCTTGGCCTGATTTCGAAATTGTCCAGAGTTTTTTATGTAGTTTTCATTGCAAAATGATGGATCTCCTTCCGTAACTTTCCAATTACGAGTACGAGAATTGAAAGACATGAAAATTCTCAATTCTCTACGGCGTCTAGGAGATAGATAGAATATTTTCAGGAACAAGAAAACCAGAAGAATCTTTCTCTCTATTCACTACCATTCCGCTCTTCGACTTCTATTAGTTTCTTTTCTTCTTTAATGCAATAGCTATAGTTTGATATAGAATCCATTTCTCAAAGTAATGGAAACCTTTCTCTTATAGGAAATGGTTCGAAAATCGCTATTCCACCTTTTAGGTATCGTGAAAAGTGATACCTGTGAAGATCGTGCATTTCAGTCACATTCAGATCCGTTTTTTGAGTCCATGATATAACCAAATTGGATGGATCTTCCACCCGTTTAGCTAAGAAAGAATAGATGCAGAGGTGGATAATAGATCGATATGAAGATCATGAGCTGCCCCATAATGAAACCACCAGGAGTCGCGAATATCTCCTTCTTCCCTAATCCAAGATTGGAGAAAGAAGATCTAAGAGGGACCCATGGAGAATGTGGTCAGAAACCCATAATAGAGTCCGACCGCAACGACCGAATTAATTATCCTCATCGAGAAACTTAGACTACTAAGTAGAAAAGATTTGAAAATCATGGCATGGGTCTCCTTTTTTTCTTTCTTTAGAGTTTTCTATA